ACTTCATCTCGGGATCAAGAACCTTATTTCTTCTGTTACAACAGGGTGCTCCAGCCCTATCACTCAAGACTTTATTCCATGCACCTGCTCCCTATTCCCTGCCCACCTTAAAAGCCAGGCGCTGACGCTCTTCCGGGCTCTGCATCTGGTTTCCGTACCGTGCGAGTCCAGGACCTGGAAGCGCCTGGTCCCGTTAAGGTTTTAACCCCTGTTCCTGTTCCTGTTCCTTGTCCCCTGTCCGCCGGTTCCGACCCGGCCTTCGTGGTTTTAACTTCGTGTTTTGATGGATCTCCTGGCTATGGACTTACCTTCGTGTTTTGGATACTCTATGGATTACTCTTTGGGATTGTTCGCCTCGGCCACACCTCCCCCGTGCACCAGCGCACCTTGGACACGCCCCCCCGTCTTCGACCCCGTTTTCCTGCATGACGTTTCCCCAGTATTTTCCCCACTCCGTCCGACTGTGTCGTCCGCATAGGGTCCGGAAAGAACTGTTCGTTACACAGGTATGGGGTTTCAAAAGCAGTCTATAACGTAATGCTGGTCCCCTGGCTGTTTCCTGTTTCAATGTGATTACCTGGTTGCACATGGGTTTGCAGTAGCGTGTCTCATTGAAAGTGACACACACCAGGCCTCCATCACTGGGGGGCAGTGGGGCTGGGCATTCTTTCGGAACAACATCCTCACAACCTAAGTCCAAAAATATAGCAATACTCTTAAGGTTATAACATATTCTTTAACATGCAATATTAACAGTCATTTTAATGGCATTCAGTGCCTTGTAACTTATATGTATTTTTAGGACTCCTCCTGTAAAAATGTCTTGATCAATCATTTAAAATTCCTGTGTTGCCAAGATGGTATTTGGATGAGAAAAAATGGGAGGGGTGTGCAAAGTCCATCAAGAAGACAGGACTTGCTAGAGCTGAGCCCAGAATCCAACCACCAATCTACTATGCCACCCTCATTGTCACTTTGGTCTGTAGAAATCTGCAGTCCTTTGTATTTTATAGACCTTTTCTGTCAGTGACGTAGTGTAAGATCAAGCTATTCTTGCTGCAAATGTATGGCACAATTAAGCATTTCACAGCTCCTGTTCAATCAAAAACCAGGACAAACCTGCAGATCCCCAAAAGCTAGCAACTTTGTGCTTTTTTTTTTGTAAATCTACTGTATCATGCTACAGCATAATGTGGAAATGGATTTAAGGACAGCTTAATAGTTTCTTCAAAGAAAAGTGGTGTACTGTATAGTTGATACATGTCATGTTATATACAGGTATTACAGTACAGTATATGTGAACTGTGAATAGATTTTAAAAATTAGTTACTGTAAGTGATGCTATAAAATTATTTAAATTATGCTATGTTCTGTGGCGTCTGGTTTAAATAGACATGTAAAACTTGTTTAAAAGGGGAATGTTCAGGTTTAGTCTATTCTGAGAAAGAATGTGTGCAAAGAGCTAAACCCTGTTGAGGCTGGAGGGCTCTGATAGTAGGGCCATTCTTGACATTCTTGACTGTATTTCAGAGGTCTATTTTTAATAGAAAAGATGGTTCAGTATTTCTGGAATTTTTCACAGGTTATTAATAAAGTTAATGTCTCCTGTAACCTATGATAAACCTATGTTAATTTTTGTTTGCTTTATCCCAGTTTTGTCTTCAGTGTGGCTAAGCATTTCCTACTGTTTTCATTCAGAACTGAAGACCCACCTCTTCATTATAGACCTACTATAATGTGACCGGCAAAGCCACATTATAGTAGCTTTCATGACTCTAGATCAAGGATAATACAAAGCACTGATGGCAAATTTCATGTGCCTTCTACTGTTTGTGTGACTTACAGGGAATAAAACGAGCAGGTTTGCTTTTAACATAACAAAATCAATCTATTTCCTGTCTTGCAAACAGAACTGAAATTCCTCAGGTTTTAGAACAAGAAAAAGCAAAAGGCAGTTTTTGGAGTGGAGGAAAAGGTTTGCAAACATGTACAAGTATTTTGACTGTGCCTTACGTTGTCTTTGTTTCTTGTTGAGTAAATCAATAGCTGTTTGCAGGGAATCCAAAACAGATGTAACCTGCTCTTCGTTCCAGTTGTCAATGACCTTTCCTACACATTCTGCCAAATTCTATGAGAAGAGAAAAACATCTGCTTTAGCTTGTTGTTACATTATAAGTAACACATTATCTTACAGTACATGAAAAGTACATTGTAAAAAACATAGGTGGAAAATACTCATATTATGAGTACTGTGTGTCTCAATTATAATGAAGATGTTAAGTAAATCAGTATAATACCAAGAATCATTTTGTACAAGCCTGCATATTCAATAAAATCCAGTGTAAACTCTCAGAATGACAGAATGGCAATAGTGATACTTTGAATTGAAATGTAGTTTTGAAAAGTATCCCAGTATAAAACAAGGTGCCTGGAAAGTAAGTTGGTATTCAAGTAAGGACTGATAATTTTATCATTACATTCAGACATTTCCAACAAGTTTGGAATTGTTTCACAGTTGTAACAGATGGTTTGAGCTGTCATATTCTCCAGGTCCAAGTCAGTGTGATTTTGTTCCTGCTGTGATTGCTTAAATACAAATTGTTCTTTAACTGCCCACTATTAAACAGCTTTAGTGTTGTTGAAATCCCATCGACTGATGCGCAGAGAGGTACAGTATGTGAAGTTAGGAGTATATATGGGGGTTGGTAGGAGGGACAGCTAGTTCTGTGAGATACTGTTAAGACTGCACCAGTGGCATCCTGTGAGGCACTGTGGGATTGCACCTATAAGATGGTGTGCAACTGTGCCAAGGTGGTTCTGACATGGCACCCGTAAAGAGAAGGCTACAATCATTCTCATGTGTCTAATTAACTTGTAGTTTAAACATGAAGGAGCAACCTGCAGCCAAAGTTAATACAGTAGTGTTTTCATAGTTTTATTCTGAACATTTACAGTAAATGAATTGCCAAAAAGAACAAGCAAACAGGCAGTGGTAGAAAGCGACCAATTGATTGCAGTACCTGTAGCTCTGCATGGACGATTTTAGGCTCAATGGAAGAGGATGAGCAGTTCTTTATATCAGAGGCAAGGCACGAGGTGAAAACTAGAATTCAAGCACAGGTTACATATCTTATTGCAGACTCCAAACATCAAATTGCCCCCTTTAGGCAACTACATAAATGCAGAATTAGGGTTATAAAAGAACTTTGCATAAAAAAATCATGATACATCTCACTGATACAAGTTTTTTTAAGTATTAATTTTATTTTTTAGTGGTACTCAACAAATTCTGCAATAATTTGTATCAGCATATTATTGAAAAATTCCAAACAGCTGTGTAAGCATTTTGGATTAAAACATTTTTTAAATATGTTCTTGAAATACTCTCCAATATTATTGTGACACTCACAGCATGTATAAAATTATATTATTATGTAACTTTAATACAATCAAAATTGTTAATACAAAAAAAGCTTTAACAGTAGTTGTCAGTGTATTTTCATTTTTGATACATAATCTGGATTCACTGGAGTAATCACATTCAAAAGAGCTGTTTTCTCCACAAATCCATCTTGATGTTTACTACCTTCTGTTTTAAGTACATCCAAAACATTGTTTATTCTAGACCAATAGACCATAGACCAATAAATTGAACTTTGGTAGATCAGACCAGTTTATTTTTCAAGATAAGATCTGATTGAAAGTTTAAAGTTAATTTATATATGTTTCATGTGAAAAGGGCATAAAAACAACTCATCTTTAATGAATACCTTGAGCCACGTATCATCATAGTGGTCCATTAGTTTAGTTTTACTATTACTACAATTTTTTATTTTTGAGAGCAACAAAAAAAAAGTACTCACCTTTTGATAAAAAGCAGAAAACCAACAAACAACTGAAGTTTATTAATCCCATGATATCCCTTATTGTCAGTAACAGCTTGTGGAGATATGCAAGATGTAGCACTGATATGTTTTGAGTGTTTTAAAGTTCCCCTTTCAGAGAATTTAAAGTTCTTTCCCTGCACTATGTAAGGGAATGCGGTGTGCAGCCAACAATTATTGTGTAAGAACAGACTGGATATGACACAAATGCTTAATGAGTCAGTGTACATAGTGTTGCAATACTTCTACCAGTATTTCTGAATAGTTTGGTTGGAATCTTAAATTCAAATATAAACATTTTAACTAACAATCATTTAGAGAAGAGAAATTTATGGATTTGATTAGTTAAGAAGTTCTGCATAAATTGTAAACCTCCAGAAAATATGCAAGTGCTTTGAAGACCTGATATATCGTCCAGTGTAACATTCTTTCTTTACAAAGCATACAACTAATAAACAGATTTTATTAATGTGTGTGAATAATACCCTAACACTGAATTACTTTTACATTTTCTTCTCCTTCTTAGTACTTCTTCTTAGTTCAAATCATTAGCATAAGGTCTATAAAGCAGTCTGTTTTAATGCTAAGATTAAACATTTTCTTTGGTACAAACAGGCATCTGAAAGATAGCCTCAGAAATTGTGTTCTAAGGTGAAATGTATAGGCACGGTTTTAACACCAGCATTCATATATAAAATTGAGTAAAACACTGTTTTCTGTCCATTTGAAAACGGAAGCTCTCAGTGAAATTTGATGACACTTGGGTTCTCTTATAGTGCTTTTTATAGTGGGTTTCAGTTGAACTGTGGGGTGAATTGAACTGGAAGAGCACAAATCTTGAAGAAATACTGTTCTTCTGCTTCACATACACTTAATTAACACCCCAGTTCAGCATTTGTAACTCTGAAATTGTAGGTGTACATATTTAGTAAGTGCAGGCTGTTTTCTTGTCAGAACATATTCTGGAAACAGTGATGAATGACATTCTAAAATGAGCTTCGCATTTTCCCTCTGAAATTAATTGTGCCTTTCTGTTTTTTTTTTCTTTCTGCTATTGAATTTGCCTGACAGGCGTATAGAGATTTCATGTAACAAGTGTGCTTAGTGTATCTCTAGCTCAGGTACTATAATTATGTATACAATATCAACACTGCAAGTTTTGACATATGATCAGGATCCTTTAAACTGCCTCCCTCTTGCTTCCTGAAATAATGCCACATCTGCACCTTCTTGTAAAATTGCCGTTCTGTATCCTGGGAGCTCTTTGAACGCCAGTCTGATTTTCTCCCACTCATTTTTCTCCCTGTAGTTATGTCCTAGTTCTAGTGTTAGAATGGTCATTTGGGAACACATGCAGAATTAAGAATTCAAACAGCTTACATTTGAGCAAGTGCAAATGTATGCAATTAAAGAACAGAAGAAAAAGATATACTGTACAAGTGAAGCAATATTCTTATTATAAGTACTAATAACTTTCTGTGGGAGGTAGTACAGCACCACAGCTTCAGGGTCATTTATTTAGTTCTATCCTTGGATATTTATCTCTGTAGAATTTTGCATGCTCTTGTTTGCTTGTACGTTGATCCTCTAGTCTCTGTCCATTTCCCAAAGATTTGCAGGGTTGATTTGATTGCCTACTTTGCCAGGGTTTTAAAACACTCTCTAGTCCCCCAGAAGAAGGCAGCTGCACACCCACCTTATTGGCTCTGGTGCTCAACCCTATTCCTGAAATCGTGCCCAGGTTTAAGAATACAAGGCTTTTCTTGATGAGATTGTTACAGAACCCCCTTAAATAGCAGTGTGGCAGGGAACCTGCACATAAAGCCATCCCTTATTATGAGAGTTAAATCTGTAGATGATTGCAAACTGTTAGTACATTTTCCCAACACCATTTCTAGTCTATACGAAATCCAACTTAAGATGTTAAGTAGCATTGGACTGTAACCTCAACTCAGCCAAAACCATTTAGGCCAATCCACTCTTCCTCTCTTGTTTCTTAATGGCAGGCTGACACAGCAACAGTCAAGGTTGCTACTAAGGGTAAACAAGGTAAACCTAGATACACCATACTGTTTATTCACAAACCTTCTAAATCACCACAAATAATCTTGTGCTGAGATCAACTGTTTTCCCCATCAGAAAGACCGAGAGGACAATGTCTACTCTCTTTTATAGGATGTCAGCCTCCTAGGGGAGCAGGCTTAATATCCTTGTGAGAATGTAAACATTGCGGACTTCATAGTGTCTCAAAGCCAGCCTCTGGTAGCTCAACCCTGTTTATAATGTCCAGTTCTGGCTGTCCTGTTACAGAGATGTGCTGTCATATAAACAGAAACTACAATATACTGTACTGTAGTGATGATAATGGATTGTACTAGTCTCTCTCACTAGCGTATACCTCATTTGCTTTTTGCAGCTTTCTCGTTAATATCTCATCATAATCATTTTGTGTGAGTCAAGAAATTGAAATGTTTGTTGTTTGGTAGGACAATTTATTTGACAAGAACCAAACTCTTGTGTGTTTTACCAGTGGGAATCTTCTATGCAAAGTGTACTAATTGGAAGATATTAAAATATAGAGAGAAAGTGTTCTGATCAAGTAATAATCACCCAATCTTCAGCGATTATTGCCTCATTCAGTATATCAGCTAAAACATAATCAGATCAATATGAAAATTATTATAATACTTTAGTAAAACTAGTTTATATTAACAGTGATGCTGATATGCATGAATATATGTAAGTTTAGTTGTGAATAGCAGGAAAATATAAAGTACTTTATAATAACTGATGTACTATCCACAAACAGATTTATTTTTGAAACAAACAGGAAAGCTAAAATTAACTGCAGTACAGTTTAAATACATGCTTGGCATCCTTTGTACGAACTAGGTAGGTATCTGCTCAGCTACCTCTCAGAATTCTGATCTAGTTTGCAGCGCAACAGTTACCACTGTTCTTGGCTAAAACTAAGAAAATTATACCACTATCCTAAATGCTGCACCTTATGGCCATTGAGTTTGAGAGCTAAGTTGAACAAAAACTCCCAAAAAATGGAAATAAAATACAGTACGATGACTTATAATGATATAAGTTAATCAAGCATGCTCACAACAGCATTAGAGTTCCTTCTCTTCCCATTCCTTCCTAAAGTAAAGATAATACCTTGCCTGTAACCAAGCATACCCTCTCTACATCATAATTTGAAGTATAATTTCCATGGTTGTCTGTATTATCATTTGCTCTGGCTAAAGACTTCTGCTAAACAAATAATAATGATAATCATAATAACAATATGAGTAGTAGTGGTCCTGTAGTTAACCCAAGCATCTTTAGAGTTTGGGCTCTACTTAGTATAATGTGGAGTTATGTGGGTTGTGTTTAATCTTCCTGTGAGGGATGACAATGGGCTCTCATTGATGGTTGCTGATTCAGGCCATATGGCTGATGTCACCTGGAGATATTTTCTGCAATGCTATTTCTTGTGCAGATTAACTTAACTGTCTCACCAGATGTGCTTTTGTTTTTTTCAGCACAAATATGCTCAGATATTATTTTTACACAAATTCTGCACAAAACAATATGTCTCTTATTCAACCCATCAACCAGATGTGCTTTTATAAACACAGCCTGTATTATTAATCAAGGAGCTTCAATCACTCCCCTAGTGAATATTGTAACTCAACTGCAGCCTTAAATTATATCACTCTAGTTTATCATTCATGTTTCACCTGGAATCGTTCCCATCTGTAAGCCATTACTGTACATACAAGTGTGCTTTCAAATACAGTAGGGTCTCAACATTTGCAACATTTGTTTGGTGCAAAGGTTGAGTGAAAACCATCATGAATAGCCACATTCTCATATAAACAATACACCTTATCCCATTGCATTTCGTACTACACTATTAAGTATGTAAGGTTAAAAGATATAAGTAAAGTTACATTAAGTAATCTAACATTGATCAATATTTAAAACAAACAGCAGTAATCACAAACTTATAGCAATATACTAAAATAAACAAGATGAATCATTCCTCTGCATCCAGTAGTCACTTTCCTTGACTTCACATTTTGCATGCCCCTCTGTAATGAAAGTTAACAGACTGGATATGACTTTACAGGCTCACTGACAGATTAATTTCTCTCATCCCCAGTGCAGCTGACACAGAGCCGGGAATGTTCATTCCAGTACCAAAAAAACACAATTTTTAGTTATGGATACTGGGTAGTGAGTATTTGGTCAAAGAGCAGGGAGAAGCTCACTCACTAGCTAGATCTTAGTATGTTGCGCAGTTAATTTGAAAGCTGTACTTAACAACCTTTGGCTCGGTTTCATTCCGTTGTACACTTCTTCCAATACAAAATCCGGTTTGTTTGACCAAATCAAGAGTAAGTGAATGTGCAAGGGCTGAGTTCTCAATTGTCGAGGCCTTACTATAATTGTCTAGTATTTTATGACACCTCCCTTACTATAGTATGCGAACTTTGTGGAGTTTGCATTTTATATTACAGTTTATAATGCTTTTAATAGTAAATTAATTTGTATTTTTAATGTCTAAATACGAGTAGCATTGCTGCCTCTCAGCTTTGTCACCCTAGGTTCAATTTCAGACCTGGGGTGCTGTCTGCACGGAGTTTGTATGTTATCCCTGGGTTTCCTCCAGATGCTCCAGTTTCCTCTCGCAGTCTAAAGACAAACTGCTAAATTAATTACCAGTATGTCTGTGAAAATTGGCCCTGGTGTGGGTGTATGCATGTTTGTGTTTCTGTCTGCTTTGTGGTAGATTGGCTTCCCATCCAGGTTGTATTACTCCTTGCACCATGTTGGTTGTTGGGATGAGCTCTGACTCCCAAACAACTCTGAAGTGGATGAAGCTGGTAGGAAATGGATGGATGGATGTCTAAATATCTTCATTGGAACTGGAATTTTTAATTCCTAAGCAGCTGGACTGGTATATAGTACATAAATGTTAGTATAAATGCTTGAGTCCATATGGAGTATGGTATATATGGTGGTTTCATTTAACACTATACATTAAGTGATATTCTTAAACATTGTGTACTGTATAAAGACTAATTTTATTATACAGTAGGTGGTGCTCTTAATGTTGATTTTGTAGTTGTTTAAAGGGTGTTTTCTTGTAGGAGACTAGAAGGGAAGAATGATA